TCGCAAGTAAACTTGTACTATTTAAGATCAAAGTTCATTAGTACGGTATCAATTTTCATTAGTCCCGCGGATTCTATATTTGTTTGCGAAATTGTTTCTTAATTACTTGATAATTGGTGTTTCACAAATGATGAAGTACGATCGCATGTTACGGAGCCCATGCACGTCACTTATCAGGCAAATTGCAGAAACTGCGGCATGCGAGAGTGCCACAGGACTCATGCCAGAAATTCTAGTTTTCTATCATTAAGGACGATGGGCAACCTTCCGTTGCATACGCGCGAAAATATCATATCAGAGGACACGTGGACACGATACATACGCTCTTTCTCTCGCTAATGAGCTTGTTTCTCAAAATTTGGCAGACCCAATTAATCTGTCATTGACGAGAGCCAACAGTATGACAAAATTTCGTTACGAACGTACGAGAAATGATACGTGAAAATAATTTGGGAGTCTCACCGTATATTTAACCTACGATAACTATACTTAACTGATTTTGAGTTTTATTTATATTTTGTATCCATATATCAAGAATATATACGTTCAATTATTATGTAATGTTATGATTGCAGAATTCTTTTCTGAATCTCTCCTAGAAAAGTATTAGAAACAAGAGAACGAATACGAGATACTTTGAAATGAGTATTTTATACGTAATTTATGTATATCGAGAGAGAGATGAACTAATATGAATGATGATGTTACACAATAATACCATAAATAATTATCTTAATTATAATTTCATACAATTAAATGAGCTGATTCCGCTGATTTCCTGAAAACCTAATTTGCAATGTATCACACACAATATGATAATCCAATAAATGCCCAATACACTAAATAATCCTACGCGTATGCGCTAAAATGTCGCTTTTAATCGAACACGGAAAATGCTGCGGATAATCAATAACTGCAATTGCCAACTTATTAATCTATCAATAAATAGCGTCCGTAGAATATTTATTTATCATGGATATTCGCACAAGAATTTCCAATGATTTCTGAAAAATCATTAAATAAATTCTCGCCGGCCGGTGTGGACGCGCGAGAGCATCGAAAGAGATGACGAGAGAATTGACACAGCAGCCTAGAAATTCTTGATTCTCAGATGAAGACAGTGACACTGGTACCTTTGATCTCGGCAATGTGTGCGTCGTATTCGCTTCTGCTGCGCATATAGTCGATTCTCGCTGCGACATTCAGGAAACTCTGATTTCGATACTCGGCATACCACTCCGAGGGTGGCCGATCGTCTGGACCCAATTGCTGGACTCGGGGACTACTGCATCTCCTCTGCGACAGACTCTCCTCCGAGGGAAATCTCATAAAGGAAGTGACCGAACTGGATTTACTGCCATGACTATGCACACCGTGACTGTGACTCTGATAGGCCGAGTCCTCGAGAGGATGCTCCTCGCTAGGAGTTCTGTTGGACTCCGTTAACATGCGTTGCTGAACAATCGCAGTGTCGTCACTCGCATTATCCAGACTGATCTCCCGTATGCTCTTTTTCACGGTGATTTTCTCAAATTTTACAACTCTGGCGCCGTTTAATTCGCCCTCCTCTACCAACCGCTCGAAGCTCTCCTCGAACGAGGAGTCGCTCGCTCTGGAAGACGATCGCCGATGTATCGGCGACCTAAAGGATGATCTGCGTGCATCCGCGTTCTCCAAAAGATCCTCGGTGCTAGGACTACGCCCAGCCGACCAGATCTGTTCGAAAAAGCTCACTCGGTCACGCAGCCGGCCACCGCGTGGTGTTCTCGGGCTGCCGGTGTCGCCGGTACCGCCAGTGCCGCCACCACCTGGGCTGTCCACCCTCGGAGGAGTTGGACTACCTTTAGGTGGGGTTGTCCACGACATATTCGACCGATTATTCTTCTACTTCATCGTCCAGAGATCGACACGTTTCGCATATCGAGTTCAGCTCGGGTCGCTTCTCCCCCTCGTCCTATTTTCACGCGAACTCTTGCTACCTAACACCTGTTCTCTCGACACCACACCTTATACACTAGGTTGCATATGTGACGCATACGCGCCGACGTCACCTCGTTTCAATGGTTCTCCGAGCCTATGAGTAGCGACTACGTTCTATAAAATGTCGACAACGTTTTATCAATCAAATCGGCGGATAGTTATCCTTCGGAATATATCTCGGGGGGGCTGATTTTCCGTCAGCATCCACGAGAGCAGAGTGCGCACCTACGTATAGATTTCATCAAAGGCGTGTGCGCGCGCGCCGGCACTATGTACATGCGTGTATACTTATATATATATATATATATGGGACGCGCGCATGGAATGCATGAATACGGAATGTATATGGTGACCGCGCTCGACGACCGGCGGTTCGATACTGCCGGCTTGTCGAGGTCTCCTCCACCTCGTATCACCGCCATTCCCTCTGCTCGCGATGACGCGACACGGAACGATGCGCAGCATGCTGGCAGACTCGATTGTAAAACCTCCATTATTCCCCTCCGAAGAATTCGCGGCCCGTCCTATGGCGTTCTTTTTATCCTTACTCCGATCAATTCTCATATCCTGCCTCTTCCTTCCGGGCCCTCGATCGCTCCGGTTTATCTGTGACGCCGATCGACCGATCGGTTCAGATGTTGCCTCTTTCACAAGACGAAATTTCTAATGATTATGATTAATCCATGATTATGTAATCACGGACCAAGATTATGTTGTGACATATATGCGATTTTATGGTAACCATAAAAAAAATGGAGAAGGCTCTATGATAACAACAGTAGATAAAAAAGCGTTTTTTGTGGATGTACATTCTCTATATATAAGATTATTTTTTTCAAAAATTTGAGACATTGTTCAGAGAACGAGTTGAACTACTATAAGAAAAAAGCAATATCTGTTATTTAAAGCTTTAATTAATTTCCTTATAAAGTTTTATTTATTAATTTTTGTTAAACTAAAGTTTTGAAATATATTAAAATAAATTATACGCAAGCTGGATGTCACTATAGCAATAAGGTAGTTTAAAAATATTTGACTTAATCAAAGAAAAGAGAGAGAGAGAGAATGAGTTAAAGATCTTAAAGCTTAAGTGTGGATCTCAATAGAAGAATTCAAAAATTTAATTAATCTTAATTGATTAAATTAATCAGTTTATGGATCAAAAAAATTGTCACCTAATTGTCCATAATTATTGTTACTTATAGTAAATAAACAACATAGCAAATAGTAATTTTTTTCCTTTCGTTAATAATAAATGACAACAATATAATATTTTTAATACTGGCCGATAATTAATGTCATGAACTACTAGACAACTTTAACCACTCAAGTATTGACATGCTGCAATCCACGGGACAAAGCAGTTTCCACAATTGTAAAGCATCCCGCGTTTTAATACAACACGCGATATCTAACATAAGATCGTCGACTTGGAAATCGAGTTATCCAGCGTTGAAGTTAATCGGTAGGCGCGATGTCAATTTTATACACATTTATCTCGTTAAGGCATGAGTCATGCTCACGCTACATTTATTAAGCACACGTGAACCAGGCGAATACGCGCCACAAATTTTAATGAACGCATCTAGATACGCTATACTTTATTAATAGGCAAATTCCAATTGACATTATTCTGATACACATAAAAAATTTTTCTAAGTTAATAGTATGCAATGCTTGTTAATGTAGATAATATCGTCTATATATTTTTTCTAAATTGTGTGTGTGTGTGTAAATATCACCAAAATTTAAAAAACTGGCAGTAAAAAATTTTAACAGTGCTGATGAAAATATCTTACCACTTTATGAAAAAAATAAAGTTTCTCCTCCATTAAATTTTCTCTAAGGACTAAAAACTAAGTAACAAACTAGGACAAATCTTCAAGCATAATGTCTGAGACATTTTGTAGGAATCGAGAACGATCTTGAAACATTTATGCTGTCACACCATTAGCGAGGCGATATGTCCAGCAACGAAATGTCTCCGGACAGGAAAAGCGAACGTAACGATTGCGAATGCGCAGCAGGTGTTCGTCACGTCTATTTATAACTCGTTCACGTCTCTACAGATTCTATCCTATTTTCTCTGCACCAGAGTTCGATTCGACGAGTATGCGAGACGCATGTTGTCGCACAAGTAGATGCTTAAGCTGCGCAAGAAGATTAGTCGTAAACGATTATGATCCTGCGAATGCGTATCGTGAATATATTAATAAGTAGCAATGCATTTTCCTTTTTATAACAAATTTGAGACTGCAATATAATTTACTCCTAAGTCATCTGTATACATATATGTTCACTCTTTAAAGTACAGCGTATTATGCTTTATTTAAATACTTTATTTAAACTCTTTAAATATGGAAATATTATATTTAGTTTCGATTATATCAATCACGATATTTTTGAGAAACCATACATTTCTTCCACGTACACAGAATTTAATATTGTATTGGTTTGTATAAAAATATCAGAAATAAATGCATCAAATGCAGGAGAGAAATAAATTTCTAATGAGATATTTGATGAGAATTTCACGACTCTTTTATGAAACACAGCAGATCCGATACCATTTCAACAGTTATACTCCCGTAATTTGCGTGTGTAACAACGACGCTTTGCGTGATCTGAATCGGGGAATAGCCTATAATTACGGGTTTCATCGGAGGATAAGTGAGGGTTTAATGTTAGTTCATTATGCCCCTGTGTAACATTACCGATACGATCCCATCGCTAGACAAATCATTTGTATAAAAATATCAGAAATAAATGCATCAAATGCAGGAGAGAAATAAATTTCTAATGAGATCTAATGAGAAATACCATTTCAACAGTTATACTCCCGTAATTTGCGTGTGTAACAACGACGCTTTGCGTGATCTGAATCGGGGAATAGCCTATAATTACGGGTTTCATCGGAGGATAAGTGAGGGTTTAATGTTAGTTCATTATGCCCCTGTGTAACATTACCGATACGATCCCATCGCTAGACAAATCAATCCCCTAAGTTCCGTAAAACTCACCTTGTAATTGCTGGATAGTAGCTTGGTACTCGGCAAGCTTTTCGTCCACGTAATCTTGGCTCTGGCTGGCAATGATCTCGGCTGTGCTCGGACCGCTGCTTTCCTCGTCCGTCTGCGTATGATCTAAGGGCACCCCGATATATTCGTAATCCCCAGGTCTATAGGGTGCTATCAGATATTCAGGCGGTGCGCATGGTATCGGCGATGCCGAATCGCTTCTAAAGGAACTCTGCGAGTTAAGAAAAATGATGTTTCACACAATTGCTACGTCGCATTAATTTCTAAATAAAATTACTCTCTTTAATCTTTTTCAGAAGATAATGATGAGAACGATGTATTAAAACCAGTTGTGATTATTCTAATTGTTAAATATTTTTTCAAAAGTAAATAATTTTTCTCCAAATACGACATATCTTTTGCATTATCCTGATGATTCGTTCGTGTATTTATGAATTAAACATCCGAATCTAAATAATCTAACAAATATCAGATATTATCGATCTGTCATTCTTCGCACATACATAAAAATAAATACCTGTGTCGGTATAAACGGCTTCGGTACTTGACTGCCCATAGGGATCGGCGAAGGCCACCGTGGTCTTGGACATTGGATGTAACTCGAAGTGGGACAGCCAAAGACGGGCGACATGCCGGGCGAGATAGGCATCCCGATCGGCACCGGGCTCATCGGATGCATCATCATTCCGGGGTACGAGAGCGGTGACATAGGACGAGCCGAATGAATCGGTGTCGGGGGCCCGCGGGGGACCCGTCCTTGCGGATGCGGCGACGACGAGGGTGTATACGGCGAGGCAGATCTAAAGGCGCTCGGCATATTCGGTGCATTGGCTCGTCCTGATCGGCCACCCGGAGGCACGTGGCCTCCGGATGCCCTCGACGGGTGCTGTTGCGACATTTCGGACTACTTCGAATTACTTTTCACTTCATCTCGCTCACAGACCAGCATTGCTGTACAAAGACAAGATTTAATCGGATAAGGAGAATCTCGATTATCGAAGTACGGTTAATATTGGAATCACGCATATTTTTATTTCTGCTCCTATTACAAAATTGTATACATTTTTTTAGCCGGAGCAATAACTTGGAGCAATAATTGTAAATCCTATCTAGACATGACATTTGTATTGGATAAATAAAAAGTGCAAGTGTTAAAAAAATTTGGCATCGATTTCATAAGTACAAACTATCTTACAATAGTGTTAACTGGTTTGGTAAGAACATAGCCATGCGGTTAATTACTAATTTGCTACCTTGGATGTTTCTGATAAATATCTTAATTAGCTTTTTAACTGCGGCACGCGAGAGAACTGTTTTAAAATTATAAGATTAACAAGATAAAAAAAACATACAATTTATATATTTTGCCAGATTTATTTTTATATTAAATCAATATAAAACATAATAA